TCACATTGCTCGGCTGAAGTCCGATGGCATCCCGGCCACTTGCAAGTCGCTCCTGGAATTCTCAAAGTCGGGGGGGCAGGGGCAGGGGACCCAAAGCAATGATGGGGCATGAGGAGCCTCGGACTTTCTGGGAGGAGAGCATCGTGGGGGCTTCTCTGGCTTCTCTCTTTAAGATGTTCTCCAACGATGCCCCGCACCGTTCAAACGGAGTGCCAAGTGCGGGCACCCGTCCTGAACCCACCCGGCAATTGCGCATTCTACTCTGACCCTTGGGGCTTTGACTTTGGGTACTGCAAACCCACAACCTAGTGCAAGAAAGCGGCCTTTAGCCGAACTGTGTATCGCCAGTTCCTTGGGCGCAGCACAGGCACGCAGCGCACATGTTTTGGAAACCATCGAATCTTGCTAACAAACGGTCCCAACACTTCGTCTAAATCGCGCGTTACTTACTTGGCCGACAAATCCAAATCCCCTCCATTTGAATTGGGGTCATGGATTGGCCAGCGTCCCCTTATAATAGTTTTTTCCAAAGTAGGTTTTCTACTCGCAACAGTTTCAGTTCCACCAAAAAGTTCTTTCAGGGCTTGGGGCTGACCGGTGGGTTTAGGTCGCCCCCCTTTTTATGACATGCGGTGGTGCTACCTTCTTTTGGTTCAGGTTTGCCATTGTCTAGTTCTTGAGGTGGCGCGTTTGAGAAGGGTTGAAAGTTTACCGCTTTTAGCAGCAACACTGAACTACGACTGCTGAATGCATTGGCTAGAGTGACCCCCCTACCTGCCTCTCTTTCCCTGACCGCAACAAGCCTTTGCCCTCATCTGAGCTTCACTGGGCACCCCCACTCTTTGTCGAAGCTCAGAATTTGTGCAGACTTCCCGTTCCTTGGATTTTCTTCGTGCCGGTATGGCCGGTGTCGTCTCACGGCGCTGGGGCTCCGGCAACTCGGGCTGCGATTCAATTCCTACCTGAAGCAGGCACCGGGTGAGTTCTATGTAAGCTCTATGGGGCTACACAAGTGAGGCGCGAGCAATCTTAATTGTGCATTTCTGCGTGAGATTCGCCGGCCTGAGGCAACAGGGAGCCAAGCTGCCAAGCTCTGCATCCCAAGTAACTCTGTTTAGGAGCCGACCCTCCACACTTCATCAGAGCAAAAGGCTGTTAAGTTCTTGTTCTTCACTGGGGCTGGGCGCTTCAGGGAGAGCGTAGTCTCCTCAGACTCCAGCAAGACCTTGCGGAGAATCACCATATGCGAGGGGAATTTTACGATCCTGCTCTCAACATGAGGCGCCGGACCTCGTATCTACCTTTGCTGTCGTCCCACCCAGTGACCTTCCTGCCCAGGTTCTGCAATTTAAGTCTTTTGCAGGTTCTTCTCCTATATGCGTTGACAGACCAGCCATTTGCAGCAATCTGCAAGCAGAAGGGCAGTCCCTTGTTTGGAGTTGTGCTCCGGCGCTTTCAGGCCATGGATGACGACGGCCTGGGTTGCAGGACATTGCCAAGCGCGTTGTACATCTGCAAACTAGCCAGATGGGATCGGGACGGTGTTGACTGGCATAGCCCAGGCAGGTGGGGCCGGCCTCGAGGCATCTTCGAGACATCTTCGAGACAGCATCCCCTGTCTCACACATTGCGCATACATGGGCAAGGACCACCATGCTCTCCAGAGGGCGCTGCCTGCTCCTGCCGGCGCCTTTGCCCCCCATCATTCCGCCCATGCCACCCATGCCACCCATGCCACCCATGCCGGCCATGCCAGGAAAGCCTTGCAGGCTGAAAGCTCCAGAAGCTCACGGGTCCTGCACAGACACATCTACCCGTCCAGACGAGGATACACAAGGCCTGGAAAGCCGCCGAAGTCCGCTCCACCCATGCCAGGCATGCCGCCCATACCACCCATTCCACCTGAGCGCAAAAGACTACAACGGCCTTGGGAAGGTCTGTGCCAGTCTTGATCTAGCTCGTGCAGCTTCACGTTAAGTCACATCAACTTGGAGTTGTAGTCATATTCAACGTTGTAGACTAAAGCTTTTGCACGGATGGATCTGCACGTTCGTTTTAGACTGACACTCAACCATCTGCAGCGATACCTTGCAGAGATAGGGATTCTATCGTTTCCTTTGAAGATCGAAAGAACTCTGTTCCCTCTTGCTGACGCAATGATACGCAGTGATGAGGGGAGGGCTGATGTTGCTTATCAACAAGCAGGAAGGGCTATTTTGTGGGAATCAGAAAGCGTTGGATTCCTGGACCTTCAAGGAAGTGCTTGGCTAGACTTGCAACTGAGCATGCAGCGACATGCCGAGTTCCCTATCATTTGCTCATGCGAGCCTCCTTGGATGGTTTCCCTCAGGGGCATGACCCAGGAACCCTAAGTAAGCCATGTAAGTCCTGGACGACCCCAACGCCATCGAATGAACCCAGAAGGCTTGGGTGTTTTTTTGGATGTTGGTCTGTAGCTCTCAGGCCTGGACCTGGCATGCCGCCATTCCTGCACTGAGGACTTGGTCTGCCGAAAGCGGCCTCCCCTCTTTCTTTACATGTCCTCCCTGAAAGGCCTCTTAGAGCACCTCCGAATCTCCCAGCAACCAGCAGCAGTTTGCGGAAGGTCCTGAAGATGACTCGGGCTCCTCCAGGCCTGCAGCCGACTACAGTCCCAAGCAAAGTGCTTCGCAGCGGCAACGGCACGAAAGTCGGAGTTGCCAACTTAGGGCGCCACAGGCCACCTTTGCCACCAAAGATTCCTGCAAGTCGTCGCCCAAGCCCACGAAACAGAGCATGGCTGCAACCCAACCGCCTCCGATGTCTTCATCACCGTCGCCCCCAAAGAAGGAGAACGGATCCCCAGCGCCGAAGAAAGCCTCGCAGCCCGTCCGAGCACTTGAAGCTAACCAACACGTGCATCTGCTATGCTATGCAGCACAAAAAAGATACAAAACACCATATGGCGGTTTCAGGCCTTGAAGATCTCGTCGGCGTGCTGGAAGGACACGCCTGGTCCTGCAGCTCAGGCCCAAGGCATGCTGGTGCGCGCACCAATGCAGACGGCTAGGACTTGCAACAGCTGCAAGGGGCCAAACTTGAGAACTGCCCTTAACCGCGCCTCCTCCAGGCCCCCCAGCCCCGCCGGACAAGCCGGCTTTGCCAAACCTGGGCTCGTGCAGCTGAATTTATTGGGGCCTTTTTGGGGGAAGGAGCCAAGTCTAGGGCTGGTCGTAGGCTTTCCGCTTGTCATGGTCATGGAGCACTTCGTATGCCTCAGTTATGACCTTGTTCGGAAGTTCAGCGTTAAGCGTTAAGCGTGAGCATGCGCACACGACCTCACGTTGCAGAACCGCTGGCCATGCGAGCGCGCCTTAAAATTTTCTTCTGCCTGGGCTTTGTTGTCAGGGTTCTTGTCGGGATGGTACCTGCAACGCGAATAAGAAAAGGTCTCAGCTGCCAGGCGTGAGAGAAACCAGCATGCAGCATGGGCACTTCAAAGCCAACTTCTTGTAAGCTTTGGCGATTTCACTGTCGGAGGCGCTCCGATCAACACCAAGAACCTGCACATCTGACAGATCGAGCCACAATGGATGGACGTCTGCACTCGTCACTAGCAGTCACTAGCAGTTTTTGCTGGCACCGCTTGTGCTGGCACATGCTGGCGGTGCTTCTGGAGCTCCGGTTGCTCGAAAGTGGCTTTGTTGTGCAAATCTAGTACGCGGAGAAGTCCGGGGGGGTGCCGCAGTGCTCGTGGTGCTGCAAGGGCGGTGACGGTTCTGATGGTTGTTGTGATGAATTGGAGTGGGAGTGGGACCCAGCGGGAGTAGCACGTAATGTATGCAAATATAGACCTCAGCCCTGACAAACAAAGCCTAAACCCTGCATCTCAAGCCTGAACCCGAAGCAATAACAGCCTGAACGGTCTAAACCCTAAACCTGAATTGAATAAGCCAACCGAAACCAAACAAGCACATAACGGAAAGATGCTGGATAAGGGGAAGGAGGGGACAGGGCGACGGGACGCACCTTGATCAAGTGTGGTCATATGTACTCCCGCATACTCGTACTTATCAGGACATCGCACTGGCCTTGTAGTAGTCTTCCGACTTTATGTCGGGAGCCGTCGGCATTCTCACCTGGGGTGGCGCTTATCTGTGCTTTCGCGACTCCTGCACCAAGCTTGGACAGCCAACACTCTTCAAGTCTGCATCCGGTGACAAGCTGTCCTGATGCCTCATCACCCACGCCTGGCAGCGACGTCGAATGTAAAGGGACACTTAGAAGACTGAGAACCAAGGAGACAACAACTTGCAACTGCGATGACCTCTGAAGGTTGGCCGCAGGACTGGGCCACAGCTACGCTGCAAAGGAAAAACGCCCGGCAGCACAAACCATGAGCAGAATTCAGTCTGCACAAGCCGCGCGATGACCTGTAAACTCTCCCGAGGCATGCGGAGAACATTTTGAGATGGCACGGATCCCCTCACGCTTGCGGGCTGGAACCCGCGATGAAACGGCTTGGTGTGGTGAGATGGCGGCTACGAGCTATGTCCACTATGTCAACCTTCTGCACGAATGCCACGGCCATGGCCAGTAACCCTTCAGGGTCGGAAGACGTTACTCACGACCGATTATGACCTGATGCGGGGCAGCATGTGGCAACAGAATGTTTGCTTTGTTGCGAGCAGTCGTGCCACCGAGAAGCAAAGAAGCCCATCGAGCCGATCAAAACATATTTTAGCCACGGGTAGTCGTTCAACCTCAGCCATGGGACAGACATGTCACAGACATCAAGCCCTTCGCATTGCACACCTCCACAGCACACAGGGGTGGGCCAAATTGTGACCATTCCGACGTACGGCAGATATGCCTGCGCCTTGCAATCCAAACTAGTCGGAATGAAACCGTCCATGCACAAGCAGCTTCGATGTGCCAAGCATCTTGCACGCCCCATGATCTCTTTCTTGCTGAGGAACAGCTGCCTGCGTAGATAGATGCCGCAGCTCAATGCCAAACCAGTCCAAGCAGCAATTCTCCCTCTGAAGCCTCGCTGCATAGAGACCTCTGTCATCTACCTGTTGCAGGCTTTGTGTGTTGGCAGGAGCACCTTAAAGAATGTAGCTGAGCCGTGGCCTGGTTGTTGTCACCTTTCGTGAGCATGGAAAGTGTTCCATCCTGACAGAATCGGCCACCGAATGACTCCAAAGATGCTGGGCTCTCAGAAGAGAGTCGTCAGGCTCCTATGAGAGTTCGGGTGTGTGTTCTGTATATTGAGCATCTAAAGCAAGACTCGGAGAATCCTGAGTACCTCTGTACATCGGCCGAATCCTGTTTGCAGCAAGGGCTGACCCCAAGCCACTTCGTATGCTTTGTTTAGCCAAGCACGCCCTTTGACCTTTTGGTGTGCGTAGGTAGCCGCCAATCAAGAGCCTTTTGACCTTGTGGTGTGCGTGGGTAGCCTAGCATTCGGCACTCAACGCACATGCGGTCGCGATGGAAACTAGCTGTGCTCACGACAGTTCCCGGCTCCATTCCACCAGTTCTAATGACGCAACTGTTCTCCATGGTTCTACCTGGAGGTCTCAATAGACCTCGGGATGAATTCTGATTGCAAACGGAGTTCCCTTTGTGCATCTTGCCTTTCGTTCCACACGGAAATTATCTGTGAGCAGCATATGTTGTACAGCGAGGGTCCCATATGAAAACCCTTAGATTCCTACTAGACCTGCAACATACTAGACGATATGGGGGTTTCCAAATATGGGGGTGCCCTGTTTGGGGGTCCCTTTAAGGGGATTCTGTTTTAGTTGGGGTATATAAAAAGGGTACCCCTATTTTGGAAAAGATCCATATCCAAACCTTGCAGGTTCCAACCTGTGAGCCAAATGACATGTCCGCTTCCGTGCTCAGCATCTAGCAGTGGGGCTGCTCAGCGCCGCGCGGGTCTTTCATGCACGTTCAAGAGTCTGTGGACAATCGGAATGTCCTTCCATAGGCGCTGGGCTATCGAGGCTAATGAAACTCACTTACGGCCGAACCCGAGCCAGCCGCACCCGACCCTCGATCTGAAAGACAACAACATCGCCGGGCTTGAACCTGCGAGCAGATTGTTTTAGGCTGCAAGTGCGTGATCCGACGGTGGTCCAAAAAAAAGCGCACAACATTAAGTCTGCGACGGCTCCCCAAAGAGTGTGAGAAACCTGGGCTTGCAAGGGATCGCGAGGAGTTGGCATAGGGGGCATAGAGGCATAACTTATCCAGAACACACGCTCTAGGCTTCAGTGCAGAAGCCCGATTCGAGCAGCCACTGTGTGAACTGCTTGTTAGCTGCAGGCCAAAGGACAGGATGTCACCTCTTTGAAGGCCCGGCTCCATGCTGCCGCTGAGCACCACTACCTTCGAAAGGACACGGTTGGTGGATGCACAGGTGGAGGAAAAGGGTACACAACTTGGACACAACCACACAGCGGTGTGGAATCAGTCATTGTAGAACTTCCTTCCTCACGGTCCTAACGTGTTGCTGCACTACTTGCAGCTGCAAGAGTTTCGATCAAAGTGGACAATGGTAAACGGCAGCCCCGGTCAGGGGCCACCTTCACTCAATTTGATGTCCACCCTTCGACATCTTAAGATCCTGGCAACGGGGCTTTCGCTTTTTGTTACCACCATCAGGCCCTTCCAGAGCATCAGCGCAGAGAAAACGATGCAGCCCAAATTCAGCACCTGCCATGGAAGAAAAATGATCAGCTGCAGGCATGCAGTCATCCATATCGAGGTATTGCGACGCTGGAAAAGAACATAGTTTTCAGGGAAAGGGCTCCCTCAGACGCTTCATGGTGCATAAGGGGGCCTGCGTCAAGAAGGAACGAGGTCTCTTGGCTAGATCTCGAAACTCACCAACATATTGCTGAACAGACTCCTGAGCAGCCACAGTCGCGTGAGAGAAGGTTCGAGGCTCAGATGCGGTTCTTGTTGAATCCGCATTGTTTGAATGTTCAAGTCACATTTACAGGGCACTGACAGAATGGCCACAGACGGCTTTCTCAGTGTCGGACCATGCCTTCCTAAAGAGTTGCTTCCAGTCCGCTCACGACAAAATTCGGCTGGCGGCACCTCCGCACTGGGACCATTAGATGAGGGATCTTCAAGCACAGCACACTTTAGGGGTTCAAGGGGTTCAGGGGTTCAGGGGGTTCAAGGGGGGTTTGGGTCTAGGAGGTTCAGGGGTTTATATAGGGGTTCAGGGGGTTTGGGGGGTTTTGGGGGGTTTAGGGGGTTTAGGGTTTTGCAGCTGGGCTCCTCGGCTCCCCTGAGTGCGGCGCTGAACGTGCCAGCCGCCAGGCGGACGGCGCAGCGGACCTCCTAACCGACATATGCCAAACAGCTGCGCAACCATGTGGTTCTGTGGATCCTGCACCAGATCAGATTCTTGTGATTCTTCTGAGATCTAGAGCAACTGTGTGCAGTTCTGTCTCGCATAATCTGCAAGTAGCACCTTTTCTGCGTTGCCTTTGCACACCGCTCCGGGACGTCACACCCTTGCTGCTTGCATCTGCTATGCAGCTCACTGCCTGCACTGCCTGTGAGGAGATGCCGCACCAGAAAGGGGAGGATATTTCGGACACTCTTGGGGCACACTTTGGGTTTCTTGGCAATCCAGAAGATGAACTCCTCAAGCGGTGCATCCTGTTTCTGAGCATACGAACTGTACGAACGTACCGCGGCCTTTGCATCCTGCGAAAGGCCTCCATGTCGCAGTTCAGGAATTCCTTCGGAGGAAGTGAAGATTGCTCGCGCTGTTCGTTTCACGTCTGGCGTCGCGCTGCACCCACGCGACCTCTCTGAAACTGGGGATGGTTCAGCCCCTGTCATCTCAAAAGGCCTTGCTCAGGACTGCGAAGTAGAGGCTAATACAAACAGATGCACCTCAGGAGCCTGCTTAGCTGTCCTGCGGATCGGCCTGCAGCGAAAGCTCTGAATTTCCACACGGTCAGAGCTGGGAAAATATGAGCTCCTCTGCCGACGGGCCTGCATCCTCTGCGTTAGACTCGTGCGCGAGGCGCCGCGCCCCCTGGTTCGTTCGGTTGTTTTCCAGAACCACGAAATTGTTCACCGAGACCTCTCGCGACGTGTCCTCTCACAATACCACAATACCAAGAAATGGGCAGTCCAAGCTCCAAGCCAAGATTCGGCCGCGCTGAAGCTGAAGGGAGCTCAACTGCGACAGCCTTTTTGTGGAACCCTCTGCCACTAGCACCATTTCTAGAATGCCGTCGTCGCTTGGCGGATGAGAAGAGTGGGAAGGACGAGAAGAAGGGTCATGGCAAAGGAAAAGACACCCAGGAGTCGTGCAAAAAGACCTGATGTGCTGAGGTACTTGCTGCAGCTGGCAGGGTCAAGCACTCCCAAGACAAGGTTCACAGCGTCAACATCCAGAATGGTGTCGAAGTCGAAATCAACCTCAGATTCATCAGATTCCCCTGTTGCAGGACCAATCGCATGAGTGCTCCCAGAGCTACACGTGTTCAAAAACTCAACCAGCAAGCTTCCGACGCTGGGCACACAGACGCTCAAGAAGATGAGGCACTGAAGCCAGCCTGGGCAATCTTAATGAGATTGGCAGCTTGATCAGGGGGTTTACGGGGTACCTTATCGGGGTCCCTATCGATTAGGGGATCCTACTATTGGGGATCTATGTTGGGGGTCCCCTATTTTCGCAAACTCCCATCATGCTAATCATGATGTCATTGGCCCGATCGGCATCAACAGATGAGTCACAGTTGCAGGTGAGCGCGATGCTTCCGTGGCTCTTTTCACAAAGCAGAGACCTGCTGCCTGCTGGAACCTGCAAAGGCGCCCAAACTCTCTGGGCACTGCCCGATTCTTGGACAGGGCCCGTCACTCGTCTTAGGTACCAGTGCAGGCCAGGGTGCGAAGCAAGGCTTTGCTTGAAAATCGTTCGCAGGAACTGAACTCCAGCGAATTCGATGCTTTGAGTTCAAGTCGGCTTTTAGGCGTCGCCGCGGTGCCCGGAATTGGCGGGCTCCAGGGACGGAAAACACGGAAAATGAAATGAAGCATCAAATAGCATCAAGCATCCTACGCCATCCTGCACTTAGAGGTCCCTGCGGGAGCCCCCCTGCGTATAGCCATAGGCACCAAGGCCAACAGCTGAAAAGATGAGGAGCGCAGCCATTGTCTGCACGGCAGGCACCACGGCCTCCAGGGCGTCGCCGCGGATTTCCGCCACGATGCCAGCGGCCAGCACGCCGCTGGCAACACTGACAAGGATCAGCCCGATGACCTGCCTCCGCTTCTCCCGCAAGAAGTCAAGATACTCCTCCGAGGCTTCAGCAAATGTGAAGGGGCCGTTCATGTTCCATCTCAGCGCTGCAGCACAGCCTCAGAGGCTCAGAAGCCCACTTCCTCCGAAGCCCACGAAATTCGAAGCCAGCAAAGCCAGCGTCGAGTAGCTTGAGCCAGCAATGCTGAGAGTTGCCTCTCCCGTGCTGGCAACCAGAAAAGCCTGCCAAAGGTACAGGACGAGGAAGAAGGCGGATAGGCCCTTGCGCACGGCCGCCTCCTCCAAAGTGATCATGCGGCCTTCGGCCAGTGCCTGCGCAATCTCGGAGTTCGAAGCCTTAGCCCCCGTGCTCTTGTTGTGCCTATGCCTCAGAGCAGCACACGCCGCTGTGAGGCCAGCCAACTTCGAACTTGAAGCGGAGTTCTGCGGCGCTCCATGCACCGCCCTCGCTTTTGGCTGCAACTGCAGTCCTTGGCCGCCTGGGTGGCCTGGGTGGCCTGGGCTGCCTGGGCCCTGGAGCCGCGCAGAGACGTCTGGAAACGTCACAAAGGCCATCGCTCAAAGCAAACTGCTCGAGCCAGGGGTCTTGAGACCGAAGCTTGAGAATGGGAGATGCAGGGATCAAGGTTTCCAGTCTTCAGCTGCACTGTATACAGCATGAAGGCTTCAAGCAAGGGGCCAGAAGACTTCTCACTCGCGTCTGAGAAGTGTGGCGCTCCTTCAGCACATGCAAGACACACTGATGCTGCTTGCCCAGATGTGTTTGTCAAACATGTTTCCGATTGACATGATGAGGCTACACTGCCTTTATCACATTCGTCAGTTTATGTAGTCGAAGCAGAACCCTTGGAAGACCTGAAAAACCCTCAGTCTCACTCTCATCTCCATCTTTCTTGGAGCAGAGGGTTTCCTCTACTACGCATTGAGAGATCAGAGATCATTGAGAAGGAAAAGGAAAAACTGACTCCTGTGCGATACGCCGGCACAAGGCTGCCAGAGCCACGGGGGCTGCATTCAGCTGCTCACGCAGGAGGGCTGCTTGTGACCTTCGGAAGGAGACTCTATGATACTCTGCCTTAGGACATATCTGTGATCTAAGTCTTTCCATTCCCAGTACACATGTCTCGCAGGCCTGTGGCTCTGCTCCTGCTCCTGCTGCTCGGCCCGCTCAGAGCGAAATCGCTCTTCCATCTCGCTCTGTGCAAGCCTCGCCTTCAGTCAGATGCCGTGCTGAGCACAACGCCATGCCAGCATGCGGCACGCCTCCTGCAGAACTCGAGCACTTTGGCTCTCCAGCTGGGTCACTTTGGCTTCGAACTGACCTGAGCATTACGATGCTGTGCGGCTAAGTCAGGGCACCCTTTCAGGCAAATTCACGGCCCGGTCTCTGTTCTGAGGGACAACTGGCTTTGTCCTGGGTCATCTTGCGCCTGATCCCACATACGTGTCCCAATTTTGCCACTTAGAAGGCCCTCGGCTTTGCAATGTCAAAATGCCAAGGCTCGCGGCACTTCCTCAAGCTGCAGTTCTGCAAAGCTGTTCCGGTCTCCTCCACTGACCAGACGTGACACACGCGATGCTGGCCGAACCTCCGTATGGATTTAAACCGTCCACCAATTCCCAACCCCGGTTGCTGAGCAATGCAACAGTATCGGTCCTTTGGCCCGTACCAACTTTGACAGCTTTGCCTGGGTAAGTGCGACAAGTGGCTTCATGAATCCAAAGCACCGTGCAACAGGGAATCCCTGCACAGCGTGGGTGGACTGTCTGCACATTCTCGTATCATCGTGTCTTATCCATCTTACACATCCGATGAGATCCCAACAATCAAAAGCCTTCAGTCCGACATGCCTGCAATCCTGCTACCAGTATGCGTATCTGCCTGGGAACCCCACAATCTCATCCTCCCGTGAACTGTCTGCAGCACGAAGGGTATCGGCATGCTTTAGCTGGACCTCTGCTGCCGCCGCGTCCTGAGAGCGTATCTGCCAGTGCTGATCTGGAATGGCATTGCCATGAAAAGGCGGTAGTGGTCGCGTCGGATCAATTATGATAAGGAGGAGCGGTGCAATGGCTGATCGAATAACTGTAAGACAAGCGAAAACCGGCACGCGTCCTTCGCAAGCCGGTCCCTCCACAAAACATCCTGCCTCAACGACTTGGGAGTGACCAACGATCACATGTTCATACGCGCCATCTCAGGTAGCGACTCTTGCTGCAGCGCATCTGCCTGGTGGTCACAAGGAACGTGCTTATGTGCACTAGCAAGCGCTGGTTTGGCTATCTGCATTCAGCCCGAAGCCTGGTGCATTGAGCTTGACAGCGCAGCCATGCGATTGCGTGCATCAGCCTTACGTACAGCAAGCACAGCGGGATGATGGTACAAGGTTACAAAGAGGTGCCATCTGAGCAGATAGGCGAAGAGGCAACATGAAGATCGACCGAGCTAAGAACGATCATCTGCACCTTGATCTTCAACCTGACACATCTGTGGCATGCCATAACGTGAATGAAGATTCCGCCGGCACCAATATGCTGATTGTACTGAGCTGTACTATTGCATTCATCCGATGCAGCAGAACCTGAGGGTAAAGACAACACGCCAGCATGCTCACCCCCGATTGGCAGTGCACATTCAAACTTGCAGCCTCCTGCACTCGTTGACTCCCCCCCCCTCCCCACTGTCCTACAAAGCACCCCGCACTTTGGAAGCAGCAGCTTAGGCACTTTCTGGCATCCCCTCGGGTTCCGACTTTTGTGACATGTCGTCGCCAGAGTTCTGATGATGCTGCAACTCCTTGAGAAGCTTGCACAGGTCCTCAAGGGCAGACGGTGGGGTAGGGGATCAAAAAAAGATGTATTTGTGATCAAAAAATAAGTATAATACTTTATTTATAGGCGGATCAAAAAAACTTATTTGGGATCAAAACATAGTTTACTGAAGGCTTCTTGCAAGCGGAGCGGAGGCTGTAAACGCTCAGAAATGCAGCATTTCTGGACGTTCGCAAGCTCTAAATACGAAAGAAAACATTTATGCGGGAACTACTGAAAATAGCATTTCTGAGTTTCCAGAGAGGCTGCAGATACTGTATATAGCAGCAATTCTGCCCTTCTAGAGGCTGGAAATACTGCAAATAGCAGCATTTCTGAGCTTCCAGAGGCTGCAAATACCTCAAATAGCAGCATTTCTGCGCTTTCAGAGGCTGGAAATACTGTAAATAGCAGCATTTCTGATTTTCCAGAGGCTGCAAATCAATGCTGGCATGGCATTAGAAGTTTCAAAAAAAGTGGTTTCGAAAGTATGCTGAAGCACCTGGCACGACTCAAAATAAAGCGGGGGGGTTGGCGGGGCGCAGCTCCCCCCCCCCCCATTTGCAAACACAATGCTCGCATCAGAGGCGTCGAAAAGACGCGTATGCCTTGAAGCAAGCTGGCAGCACTTTAAAAAAAACGGGGGGTTGTTGGGGGGGGGGGGGGGGCCGCCCCCCATTTGCAAACACAATGCTCTGGGTTTCGAAAAGATGCGTATGCTTTGAAGCAAGCTGGCACGACTTCTTCCTTGCTTTCTTCATTTTGTTATTTCTTTCCTTTTCTTTCTTTCTTGATTCCTTCCTTCCTTTCCTTTCCTTTCCTCTCCTCTCCTCTCCTCTCCTCTCCTTTCCTTTCTTTTCCTTTCCTTTCCTTCCTTGCTTCCTTGCTTCTTTGCTTCTTTGCTTCCCCGCGTCCTCGCTTCCTCGCTTCCTCGCTTCCTTGCTTCCTTGCTTCCTTGCTTCCTTGCTTCCTTGCTTCCTTGCTTCCTTGCTTCCTTGCTTCCTTGCTTCCTTGCTTCCTTGCTTCCTTGCTTCCTTGCTTCCTTGCTTCCTTGCTTCCTTGCTTGCTTCCTTGCTTCCTTCCTTCCTTACTTCCTTCCTTCCTTCCTTCCTTCCCTCCTTCCTTCCTTCCAGCATTTCTGGGTTTCCAGAGGTTGCAAATACTGTAAAAAGCTTTCAGAGGCTGAGTCTCCCCCCCCCATTTGCAAACACAATGCTCGCATCAGAGGCGTCGAAAAGACGCGTATGCTTTGAAGCAAGCTGGCACGACTTAAAAAAGCGGGGGGTTGTTGGGGGGGGGTTTGCCCTGCCCCCCATTTGCAAACACAATGCTCGCATAATGGGTTTCGAACAGATGCGTACTCCCTCTCTCCTTTGCTTCCTCCCTCCTCCCCCTTCCCTCTCTCTGTCGGAAGAACAGAATAAATTATTTCTTGATCCTGAGGAAATTAGTTTTTGATCCTAAGTAATTTTTTCTTGATCCTAAATGATTTTTTTTAGATCCGTATCCCGGATGATAAAGCAAAGCAGTTGCAGACATATAGATGTGTATACATATATATATATATATGTAAATATATATATATATATATATATATATATATATTGTAAAAAAGAATATATATATATATATATATATTGTATTATATATTATATATTTTAATTATATATATATATATATATAGAAATATAGCTTCTGAGGATGAACGCGGCACAGCCAACTCGATCGAAGTCGAGTCATCCTGGCCTCTCTTCGTCTCTCCAGTGCGGCCTGAAGGTTCGTTAGGCTCTGCTGCAGCGATGAGTCGGCAATGCCTCAGAAGCTGGAAGATGAGCAAAAAGATGTGCACATAATTTAGCACATGTTCGAGCACAGGTGAGTAAGCACATAGTTGTCCGTCGTTTTTGTTGTGCATATGTGCTCAAGGACTCAGCAACCCGGCGAAGCTGCCGCATTTCCCCTTCTGCATCTTCCATAGCCTGGTCCCCAGGGCAACTGCGCTGACACAAAGTTGTCGCTAAGTTTTGCTGCGTATGGGCAAAAGACATTGCGGTTTGTGTTGGGACACAGATCTCCTCTTGGGAATAGGATTCGCAGAAGGCCTGATGCTGCTCATCATACTTCGCGCGTGGCACGCTAGCAGCAACCAATTCCACGAGCTCCTGTCAAGCAAACCATGTACTTCTCCTTCTTGAATCAGCTGCAAGTAGCAGGCCTCAATGTTCTTCTCCATGTGACTTGCGGCCTCCGTGGCCTCAAGTGCCTTGACTGGATGTGAATGTGCAATCACGCGCAGCAGCTGCCAACGCTTAAATGCTGAGGACTTGACAGCGACTTCTTCAACCTCAGCTGTGCCTGATATCTTGCTGGCCTGGAGACGTTCGAGACATAGCATGATGCAGCATGATGCAGGAAGCTGAAGTTCGGCGTTCGCTGCTTGTGCAGCTGCTTGTGGAGCGTGCTGCAGCCGGTTCAAGCCTTGAGACCAGTCGTGACTTCCTCATCTTTCAAAGCTTCCAGCCTGAGAAAGGGAACCAGCAGCACGACCCGGGCGACCCCACTTGTGTAGAAACGCTCTGGCAGGCACTGCTCGTCCATCTCCCTGAGAACGTACACATCTAGCTCTTCCTGGCACAGGCCCCTGCACTGCATGACGTTTGACACAATAGGGGAAATGGCGCACACCTGCTCCTGAGCCATCCTCAAAACCTGCCACGCGTCGCTCTGTGTTGGGGGACAAGCCAAGCAATGCTGCCCATGCTGCCCATGCTGCCCATGCTGCCCGCACCTTGCTCTTCTGCGCCAGTGCCAATTCTGCAGCCGAAAGGCGACGTTGGCTTTGCTCCATCTCAAGCACACCCTGGTTGGTAAATCTCTTTCCAACACACCAGCACGGGAGCTTGTGGAAGTTTATGGCATGTGAATGCATGAGACACCACCTGCTCTAGCACGGCGTCCAGCTTGTCCTGGCACCGGGAAGGAACCAGCTTGGGCTAAGCCAGCTTGCAGCGAACGCCCTCTCTGATTAAAGGAGCTGCTTATTGCACGGCAACACCTTGAGCATGCCGACTGCATGTGCACCATCATCGTCCATCTCACACTTCTGCTCCTGCGCGCGCAGATTCAAGGCATGTTCATGCAGCCCATCGACCACCTGCGCGGCAAGTCTGTCATATATGGTTCCGTGTCCCGTGTCGGTACCCCCCCCCCCCCCCCCCCCCCCCCCCCCCCCCCCCCCCCCCCCCCCCCCCCCCCCCCCCCCCCCCCTAAACCCTAAACCCTAAACCCTAAACCCAAACCCTAAACCCTAAACCCTAAACCCTCAACCCTCACCCCTCAACCCAAACCCCAACCACACCACACCACAGGGGGGCCCAAACCACAGGGGGGCGGGGCGGGGACCCTAAAGCCTAAACCCTAAGCCCTAAACCCTAAACCCTAAACCCCAGTCCTAAACCCTAAACCCTAAACCCGAAACCCTAAACCCTAAACCCTCAACCCAAACCCCAACCACACCACCCCACAGGGGGGCCATGGGGGGGGTACCATGGGGTGGGGGGGGGTGGGGGGTGCAGCGACGCTGCACCATATATCCCGACCCCCGCTTTGGAACTGGCCTAAAACAGCGGCTCACGCAGCTTGAGCTTGAATCCCTTGCAGTCCCTTGCAGTTCCCCCCCCCCCGACTTTCCTTCTTTGTTGAGCCCGGTCCCCCTCCACCCTCCACCCAAACGATGCACTGATTAAGTTACCAATACGAGCCGATTCGGTTGCTCGTGAAGTGATCATGTTTCTTGTCGGCCTGACCTCTGTCCCCGAATTCAGTACCAGACTCTGTGTTTCCTTCCTGCTGGCCGTTCAGCTTGCCTTGCTCTTGAGGGCTTGTTGCTGGCCACCCTCTTCGAGTTTTGGATATTCCCATCCATGCGCCCGTTCCTTTCTGATGCACGGAGAGGCTAGGGCTTCCAACTCCGCATGCCTTTCACAGCAAATCTGTTTCAGGCAACGCCTTTCTTTGGGTGGAGGGGTCTAGGGAGTCTAGGGTTTAAAGACTTGGGTTTAGGTTTGCGGGATTCGGGTTCGGGCGGGGCTCAACGTTGGGAGGGGTTGCTTGGAGTTTAATGAGGTTTTCCACTCCCCATGATTCCGTGACCATTAGTTGTAGCGCTCAGTCTTTTGAAGCCATTTAGGGTAGAGGGCCTGGGATGAGGAGTTCAATAAGAAATATTCACTTTAGTCAAGCGCCGTTGAACTTGTTACAGGACGCTTTCGATCTTGACAGTCCATGAAGTCCTGCTACGACTGAGAATAGCTCCGAAGCTTTTGGTGTGATCTGTCGTTGATTCTAGTCGACCCTGGCTACACAAGAAGACTGCGGGTTTAGCCGTGTTCGTGCAATCTTTTCGGCCCTGCCTAAAGTTGCTTGGCAAAACACACTCGCTCGTCCTCCACCAACTGATGTAGCTGGCGATACTCACTCAACAGCTCCAGGCCTCTCAATCGGCAACACAATGCATGAACCATCGAAAGGATGATCCCCAGCCTGCCCCTTTGTGATCGTCGCTGGCAGGAAGCTTGGAGGAACAAAGTGAGTCGACCTGCCCATCTCAAGGAAGCTGTCGCTAGCAGCCGCTAGCAGCAGCCGCTAGCAGCTGCCGGCCATGTTGCTACAAGAAGGCTGCACATAGGGGAAAGGTCACCTCCTCCTGCATGAGCTTCTCCTCCGAAAGCCACCGTGATGCGCCTCAGAACAACCGCATACAGTCGCGGCTACGGCATCGGCGAGATGCAGAGTCAGAATGCTGAGGAATGGGCTATCTGCAAGATGCTGAACGAGAGCAGAAGCAGCTTCCAGCTCTTCAGAATCTCGAGGCATAACGCCGCTATGCTGAACTGCTCTACGCACACAGCTCCGCAAGCAGCTCCGTCGCCTTCTCGCGCTTCGTCGGCTATGCGTCCGTGCAGCTCAGCCACACCTTGGGCCGGAGAGCAGAAGCAGCAACAGCTATTGCTCCACTTCCCTTCTCCAACTCGGCTGCAGCCTGGCGAGCGTGGTCGTTGCTTCACAGACGCATAGGGAAAGGAACATTGAGGTGAGCCGGAATTAGATCTCACAGTTTCAACATCGGAATGGTAAACTGATAAACTTGTGTGTCGAATTCTTTGGGTGGCCACCGGCAGCGGCTGCAGCGGCTTCAGAAGTCCAAGCCCTGGCCCGAGGCTGCCCTAGGCTTCTGGGATCTGGGATATTCCAAGGGCTGGAAAGAGCGCTGGAACTTCCAATCCTTCGAGTCTTACCTGTCTCGATTCTCAGCTCTCTGCAAGCCATCATACGGGGGGTATAGTATAGATAATCTTGCACAAGGACCCCATGATTCCCAGTTCTGAGAAACATAAGTTGGCTAAGAAAAAAGAACTTTGCAACCCTACCCACCCATGTTTGGACGAATTTGCATGCCCTTGAAACACCCAGCAACTGTCGACGGCCTGAAATGCCGGAAACATGGGGGCAAAACGTTCACGAATCCAAACCTAGGTGTGCACGCTTAATCTGCTGGCAAATGTTTTTAAACGGGGACGAAGTGCAAGCCCTGAACCACAATCCTCTGGATCGGCTTGTAGCGCGTGACTCAGGCCCGCTTGCCTCTGCAAATCACCCAGCTGTCCTTGGCATGCAAAAGCAGTGCTATCCGTGATGAGATTTCTTTAGGGCGTGGAGTACTAGCAAAGGTATATCCTAGCGCACAATTTCCACGAAGCCTGTGACTGAGGCAGAGGCTCACTTGAAGTCTCAGCTCGGCGACCAACTCCCTTGAGACTTCATGGTCCATGGGTGAATTCAATCAGTTCGCTTGTTAGCACGGCTCGGAAAGAAAAAGAACTGAGACAAAGCTGGTGATTGAAGCCGATGCTGCGTATGTGGAATGTTCTGCGTGCGCGTGCGCGTGTGCGTGTGCGTGTGTGCGTGTGTGGGTGTGGGTGAGCGTGAGCGTGAGCGTGAGCGTGAGTGTGAGCGTGTGCGTGAGCGTGCTTGCGTGCGTGGGTGGGTGTGTGGGTGGGTGGGCAGGTGGGTGGTTCGTGCCGTGGCGCTTCTGACAAAACAAAGAATATGCACAGTCCACCATGCTTTGTCTGGCACACTGTGGCCTGTGAGAAAGATCAACCATGCAGTCCTTCTTGTACCAAGCAGCTCTTGTTGGACCACAGCCGAAGTAGCCGCACGCTGCAGCTTCTGCGTGCTTCGATCTCCCAGATCACTGCTCGAGAGGCGCAGCCTTTTGGCACATGACCCGGACTTTTGCAACAGTCATCGCAAGATATGTATAATGATGTATCAAGGTATAAAGATGTAAAGATATAAAGATGTAAAGATATAAAGATAGAAAGATGTAAAGATGCAAAGATCTAAAGATATCAACACAAAAGGCCGGCAAAGCCGGCGAGATGGCCTGGCTTCCTGAAGGCGCTGGGAGGTTTGGAGCAGATCGGCCCTGAGGCTGGCCTCGAGATCTTCGGATACGGGCTTCGCGTGGCTTTGCGCGGCTTGCTCTCAGGTAGCCACTGACAGAGTTAGACGGCCGAGTCTCAGGCATCTGCACAGGATGCAAAAGGTCCTCGGATCTGCTTCTCCCACTCGAAGAGCTGCTGCTCGGCATCTGCCTTCTCACCTTGTCCAGATGAAAGGCAAGACCAAGTCACAAGCACATCCACGGACAGTCCCAAACAGACTTAGGCCAAGCTTAAGCCAAGCGTCTTTTCAACTGGGCGGCCAGCGCCGCCTCATCGTGCTCACGTAGACTCAGCCTTGGGTGGGCTCAGAGCATGTGGCAAAGATCAGCTCCGGGGAAGCGCCGAATGTGCAAACAGGAAAGCAAGGCTTCTCCATCTCAGAAGGCTGAATTTCAACAGAAACTGAAGGCCCGGGAGCCCTCTTGAGACGCCAAAAGACTCCTGCAGTTGCTCTTGCTCGCGCTCCAGGACTGTCGACTCCTCCTGCCGTGCCGCTTCCACCGACGCATGCTCCCCTTCCTCGGCTCTTTGCCTTCCACACTCAGCAACCCGATACACGCTATCCACGGCTAAAGTCTCATCCTCACAAAGCCCAGACTGTTGCCACAAAATTGCTACCAATGCGCGTGACAGAACAAACATTTCCGAGAGCAGCACAACTGTCGGCACGCACAAGTCGCTCAAAAGGCCCAAGCATCTGCCCGAGTCAGTCGCAAAAGCTGCTCAGCAAAGTGGTCCTCTTGCTTCTGCACTGCCATGGCAATCCTCACTGAAAGTGCGCGGAACTCATGGTTCAAATCTATCTATCCATCTATCTATTTATTGCATTATGCATGTGTGTGTGCGCGCATGTTTCAATGATCCATCTGTGCCATCTTTGCAGGACAAGCCTCTCTTCCAGATCCACGTGGAGTCTGGCCTCACGCTCAGACTCAGCCTTCTTCATAGCCTGAGTCCTTGCTTCGCTGGCCTGACGAGTGGCCGACTGGTGTGTAGCCAACGCTGCATTCCATGCTGCGATCCAGCCTGTCTCGCTGCCTTCTGTGCGGTGGAGGCTTCTGCTTCTGCTTCCACGGCTTCTTGCTCTGCCACCTTGTACTGGGCCTCCACATGGCCACTCTCCTAGGCTGTGCCGCTCACCCACAGGAGTAAGAGCAAGCACATTATCTCATGCATGTATATACGTACATATTTATATATATATATGCTCATATACATATATCTATATACATATACATGCATATGTATACCGTAACCTGCTTTTCAGCGAGGCTCTTCACGGAGCCATGCCATAGCAGACTCGGAGCGATGCGAGTCAGGGGTTGCGCTGGATGCGCTGACTTGGTGATTCTCCTGTCATTTGTTCGTGCAGGCCGGTACTACTTCAGAAGAATGTAATCGGTTTGAACCAGCATTGGTCCTGAGAAGCTTGCCATGCAGCTTGTTGGGCAGCAGATCCATCTAGCAGTCGCAGCCACGGAACCACTTGCGCCACACACAAGCCTTCTTGCGGATGCAGGCAGGGGCCCGTGAAGCTGAAGGCCATGAAATGGACACATTGGATACATTCTTTGCCATGCCAGTGCAAGGAAATGATGCCAGCCATGAAGGCCAAGCTACGGTAGTTGGGCTCCTCACAAATTGGATTCGCATCTGCCGATGCTCCCTCCTAACAGGGCAAGTTCTGTGAACAGCACTCGGCCATCAAGGAGGCCTGGGCAAAGCCGAACCGGTTTTGGATCCTGGAAGGCCAGGGAATCCAACCTCGTGCAGCCTGCAAGGAAAAGCAGCTCGCGAAGATCGCCGATCTTGTTGCACCTAGCAGACGGGGTGCAAGGCCGGGGGGGGTGGGAAAATGCCAAGAAAGATCAGAGATCATGATGTGGTTGTGAAATTGTGTGAAAAGTGCATGGTCGCACCTCAGGTCCAGTACCCTCAAGTTGTATCGTCGGCCCCAGAACTGCTGCTGGCCTGGGCTTCACCACAGGCGCAGCAAATTCCCATCAAGAGACATGGCCCCTCGCCTTGAAGTGTCTCAATCTGATTGTAGGCCAGGCGCCTGACATGCGCAAGAGAGAGACTACCAGTATCACAGCTCCAGAAAGAGAAAAGTGTCTTCAGCTTGCTCGATTTCTTCCCCTGGCTTTCCAGTCAAGCTGCAGCTCCTCGAGGCTGCAGAGGTTCCGCAGGCCCACAGAGGTGGTCAGGGAATTGCAGCTGAGATCCAGCAGGCGAAGGCTTGAAGAAAGAGCCCCAAAGTCGCGAGGCCTCGCAGAGAGCCATGCGGTCATATGGGGGGAGGGGGGTTTTGGAGCTATGACCATCAGCAGCTCCACGTGTCGACTCTTCCTAGGCTGGAGGCGAGCATCATGAGCATCAGCCCGCCCGCGTCTCGACTCTTCACAAGCATCATGAGCATCAGCAGCCCCTCGTCGCGACTCTTCCCAGGCCCGAGGCGAGCATCATGAGCATCAGCCCGCCCGCGTCTCGACTCTGCACAAGCATCATGAGCATCAGCACCCCCACGTGTCGACTCTTCCCAGGCTGGAGGCGAGCATCATGAGCATCAGCCCGCCCGCGTCTCGACTCTTCACAAGCATCATGAGCATCAGCAGCCCCACGTGTCGACTCTTCCCAGGCCCGAGGCGAGCATCATGAGCATCAGCCCGCCCGCGTCTCGACTCTTCACAAGCAGCCCCTCGTGTCGACTCTTCCCAGGTTGGAGGCGAGCATCATGAGCATCAGCCCGCCCGCGTCTCGACTCTTCACAAGCATCATGAGCATCAGCACCCTCACGTGTCGACTCTTCCCAGGCCCAAGCCGAGCATCATGAGCATCAGCCCGCCCGCGTCTCGACTCATGAGCATCAGCCCCAGTGTCGACTCTTCCCAGGCCCGAGGCGAGCATCATGAGCATCAGCCCGCGTCTCGACTCTGCACAAGCATCATGAGCATCAGCACCCCCACGTGTCGACTCTTCCCTGGCTGGAGGCGAGCATCATGAGCATCAGCCAGCCCGCGTCTCGACTCTTCACAAGCATCATGAGCATCAGCACCCCCACGTGTCGACTCTTCCCATGCTGGACGCGAGCATCATGAGCATCAGCCCGCCCGCGTCTCGACTCTTCACAAGCATCATGAGCATCAGCACCCCACGTGTCGACTCTTCCCTGGCTGGAGGCGAGCATCATGAGCATCAGCCCGCCCGCGTCGACTCTTCACAAGCATCATGAGCATCAGCAGCCCCTCGTCGCGACTCTTCCCAGGCTGGAGGCGAGCATCATGAGCATCAGCCCGCCCGCGTCTCGACTCTTCACAAGCATCATGAGCATCAGCAGCTCCACGTGTCGACTCTTCCCAGGCCCGAGGCGAGCATCATGAGCATCAGCCCGCCCGCGTCTCGACTCATGAGCATCAGCCCCAGTGTCGACTCTTCCCAGGCCGAGCATCATGAGCATCAGCCCGCCCGCGTCTCGACTCTTCACAAGCATCATGAGCATCAGCAGCCCCTCGTGTCGACTCTTCCCAGGTTGGAGGCGAGCATCATGAGCATCAGCCCGCCCGCGTCTCGACTCTTCACAAGCATCATGAGCATCAGCACCCTCACGTGTCACGTGTCGACTCTTCCCAGGCCCGAGGCGAGCATCATGAGCATGAGCCCGCCCGCGTCTCGACTCTTCACAAGCATCATGAGCATGAGCACCCTCACGTGTCGACTCTTGCCAGGCCCGAGGCGAGCAATGAGCATCAGCCCGCCCGCGTCTCGACTCACGAGCATCAGCAGCCCCACGTGTCGACTCTTCCCAGGCCCGAGGCGAGCACATGAGCATCAGCCCGCCCGCGTCTCGACTCTGCACAAGCATCATGAGCATCAGCAGCTCCACGTGTCGACTCTTCCCAGGCCCGAGGCGAGCATCATGAGCATCAGCCCGCCCGCGTCTCGACTCTTCACAAGCATCATGAGCACCAGCAGCCCCTCGTGTCGACTCTTCTCAGGCTGGAGGCGAGCATCATGAGCATCAGCCCGCCCGCGTGCGTCTCGACTCTTCACAAGCATCATGAGCATCAGCAGCTCTTCCCAGGCCCGAGGCGAGCATCATGAGCATCAGTCCGCCCGCGTCTCGACTCTTCACAAGCATCATGAGCATCAGCACCCCCACGTGTCGACTCTTCCCAGGCTGGAGGCGAGCATCATGAGCATCAGCCCGCCCGCGTCTCGACTCTTCACAAGCATCATGAGCATCAGCAGCCCCACGTGTCGACTCTTCCCAGGCCCGAGGCGAGCATCATGAGCATCAGCCCGCCCGCGTCTCGGCTCTTCGCAAGCATCCTGAGCATCAGCATCTCCACGTGTCGACTCTTCCCAGGCCCGAGGCGAGCATCATGAGCATCAGCCCGCTCGCGTCTCGACTCTTCACAAGAATCATGAGCATCAGCACCCCCACGTGTCGACTCTTCCCAGGCCCGAGAGGCGAGCATCATGAGCATCAGCCCGCCCGCGTCTCGACTGCTCACAAGCATCATGAGCATCAGCCCCCCCACGTGTCGACTCTTCCCAGGCCCGAGGCGAGCATCAGGAGCATCAGCCCGCCCGCGTCTCGACTCTTCACAAGCATCATGAACATCAGCACCCCCACACGTCGACTCTTCCCAGGCTGGAGGCAAGCATCATGAGCATCAGCCCGCCCGCGTCTGGACTCACGAGCATCAGCAGCGAGCATCATGAGCATCAGCCCGCCCGCGTCTCGACTCTTCACAAGCATCATGAGCATCAGCAGCTCCACGTGTCGACTCTTCCCAGGCCCGAGGCGAGCATCATGAGCATCAGCCCGCCCGCATCTCGACTCTTCACAAGCATCATGAGCATCAGCAGCCCTCGTGTCGACTCTTCCCAGGCCCGAGGCGAGCATCATGAACATCAGCCCGCCCGCGTCTCGACTCTTCACAAACAGCACCCCCACGTGTCGACTCTTCCCAGGCCCGGCCCGAGGCGAGCATCATGAGCATCAGCCCGCCCGCGTCTCGCGACTCATGAGCATCAGCAGCCCCACGTGTCGACTCTTCCCAGGCCCGAGGCGAGCATTGTGAGCATCAGCCCGCCCGCGTCTCGGCTCTTCACAAGCATCATGAGCATCAGCACCCCCACGTGTCGACTCTTCCCTGGCCCGAGGCGAGCATCATGAGCATCAGCCCGCCCGCGTCTCGACTCTTCACAAGCATCATGGGCATCAGCAGCTCCACGTATCGACTCTTCCCAGGCCCGAGGCGAGCATTGTGAGCATCAGCCCGCCCGCGTCTCCACTCTTCACAAGCATCATGAGCATCAGCACCCCCACGTGTCGACTCTTCCCTGGCCCGAGGCGAGCATCATGAGCATCAGCCCGCCCGCGTCTCGACTCTTCACAAGCATCATGGGCATCAGCAGCTCCACGTATCGACTCTTCCCAGGCCCGAGGCGAGCATTGTGAGCATCAGCCCGCCCGCGTCTCCACTCTTCACAAGCATCATGAGCATCAGCACCCCCACGTGTCGACTCTTCCCTGGCCCGAGGCGAGCATCATGAGCATCAGCCCGCCCGCGTCTCGACTCTTCACAAGCATCATGGGCATCAGCAGCTCCACGTATCGACTCTTCCCAGGCCCGAGGCGAGCATCATGAGCATCAGCCCGCCCGCATCTCGACTCTTCACAAGCATGATGAGCATCAGCACCCCCACATGTCGACTCTTCCCAGGCTGGAGGTGAGCATCATGAGCATCAGCCCGCCCGCGTCTCGACTCTTCACAAGCATCATGGGCATCAGCAGCTCCACGTATCGACTCTTCCCAGGCCCGAGGCAAGCATCATGAGCATCAGCCCGCCCGCGTCTCGACTGTTCACAAGCATCATGAGCATCAGCACCCGGCGAGCATCATGAGCATCAGCCCGCCCGCGTCTCGACTCTTCACAACATCAGCACCCCCACGCGTCGACTCTTCCCAGGCTGGAGGCGAGCATCATGAGCATCAGCGCGCCCGCGTCTGGACTCACGAGCATCAGCAGCCCCACATGTTGACTCTTCCCAGGCCCGAGGCGAGCATCATGAGCATCAGCCCGCCCGCGTCTCCCCACGTGTCAACTCTTCCCAGGCCCGAGGCGAGCATTCCGCTCGCGTCTCGACTCTTCACAAGCATCATGAGCATCAGCAGCCCCTGGTGTCGACTCTTCCCAGGCCCGAGAGGCGAGCATCATGAGCATCAGCCCGCCCGCGTCTCGACTGTTCACAAGCATCATGAGCATCAACACCCCCACGTGTCGACTCTTCCCAGGCCCGAGGCGAGCATCATGAGCATCAGCCCGCCCGCGTCTCGACTCTTCACAAGCATCATGAACATCAGCACCCCCACGCGTCGACTCTTCCCAGGCTGGAGGCGAGCATCATGAGCATCAGCCCGCCCGTGTCTGGACTCACGAGCATCAGCAGCTCCACGTATCGACTCTTCCCAGGCCCGAGGCGAGCATCATGAGCATCAGCCCGCCCGCATCTCGACTCTTCACAAGCATCATGGGCATCAGCAGCTCCACGTATCGACTCTTCCCAGGCCCGAGGCGAGCATCATGAGCATCAGCCCGCCCGCGTCTCGACTCTTCACAAGCATCATGGGCATCAGCAGCTCCACGTATCGACTCTTCCCAGGCCCGAGGCGAGCATTGTGAGCATCAGCCCGCCCGCGTCTCGACTCTTCACAAGCATCACGAGCATCAGCACCCCCTCGTGTCGACTCTTCCCTGGCCCGAGGCGAGCATCATGAGCATCAGCCCGCCCGCATCTCGACTCTTCACAAGCATGATGAGCATCAGCAGTCCCTCGTGTCGACTCTTCCCAGGCCCGAGGCGAGCATCATGAGCATCAGCCTGCCCGCGTCTCGACTCTTCACAAGCATCATGAGCATCAGCAGCCCCACGTGTCCATTTTCCCAGGCCCGAGGCGAGCATCATGAGCATCAGCCCGCCCGCGTCTCGACTCTTCACAAGCATCATGAGCATCAGCACCCCCACATGTCGACTCTTCCCAGGCCCGAGGCGAGCATCATGAGCATCAGCCCGCCCGCGTCTCGACTCTTCACAAGCATCATGAGCATCAGCAGCCCCACGTGTCGACTCTTTCCAGGCCCGAGGCGAGCATCATGAGCATCAACCCGCCCGCATCTTCAGCCCGACCGCGTCTCGACTCTTCACAAGCATCATAAGCATCATGAGCATCGGCAGCCCCACATGTCGACTCTTCCCTGGCCCGAGGCGAACATCATGAGAATCAGCCCGCCCGTGTCTTGACTCTTCACAAGCATCATGAGCATCAGCACCCCCACGTGTCGACTGATGCGAGCATCATGAGCATCAGCCCGCCCGCGTCTCGACTCTTCACAAGCATCATGAGCATCAGCAGCCCGCGCGTGTCGACTCTTCCCAGGCCCGAGGCGAGCATTGTGAGCATCAGCCCGCCCGCGTCTCGACTCTTCACAAGCATCATGAGCATCAGCAGCCCCACGTGTCGACTCTTTCCAGGCCCGAGGCGAGCATCATGAGCATCAACCCGCCCGCATCTTCAGCCCGACCGCGTCTCGACTCTTCACAAGCATCATAAGCATCATGAGCATCGGCAGCCCCACATGTCGACTCTTCCCTGGCCCGAGGCGAACATTATGAGCATCAGCCTGCCCGTGTCTTGACTCTTCACAAGCATCATGAGCATCAGCACCCCCACGTGTCGACTGATGCGAGCATCATGAGCATCAGCCCGCCCGCGTCTCGACTCTTCACAAGCATCATGAGCATCAGCAGCCCCACGTGTCGACCCTTCCCAGGCGGTGAGGATAATCAGCATCAATATGCCAGCATCTCACCGCTTCACAAGCGTTCTAGGGGGCAGGGCTTAGCCTCAACCCACCCTAAACCCAAAGGGCCCGCATCGTGCACGGATGCCTGAGCTGGCTGATGCAGTTGGCGGAGAGGATCAGCTCCTGCAGGGGTCCCCAAGCTGCTAAATATCCAAAACCTCGACACAGCCCGTGATAGAAGTTGCTATGAGTCCCTAGTTGGGCTTGAGAGCAGCTGCGCCTCAAGGGGCCCTAAGGATGGGAGGCCGGCAAGGTCCCGAATCCTTAGGGATGCGATGAGCCGCCTTTTGCAACGTTTGTCTTCCTGCCCCGAAACACAGATCCCGCATTGGCCCCCCCGCCCCCCAACTCCGCAAGAATCCAACGGGAATCCGCAGCTCAGGCGCTTGTTCATGTGGAGGTTCAGGCGCCGGGCTCTCCTGGGTTAGGTCCGGCTAGGTGCAGACTTCGGGTTTGGCGACAGCAGGTTCACAGCCACACTTCCACAGCTGAAGCTCCGCTCTCCAGCGTCACCTTCGCCCGCCTTATCCAGGCAGAGTCCTCCACAAGGCTGGTCACGGCTAGAGCGGCTAAAGATCGTCAGTCCAAGTGCTCTCTGAGCCTCGTATGTCATCTAGAGAAGTGATGTTGGCCCCGAGCAGGTCGATGACGGCCATGGCCACTGGCCGACTTGCCGGTACCCGGTACTTGTCGCTTGGGCGAAGCCTTGAAGGTTCTGCGAAATATTTCGGAAGAGCCTGTTTGCCTCCTGTCATGCAAGTACAGACTTGCATCGCAAGGCTTCTAAGCCATGACAGACGATTTGAGCAGCTCTGGCTGCCATCCGAGCAACACAGGTCTCTAGAACAGATAGTAGGGATTAGTAGGTGGTCATGGAAAAACTGCTGGCCAGTGGGCTTCGTTGCCTTTTCTAATCTTAAGATCGTCAGTCTTGTCCAATACACTTTGGCAGGAAAGGCTTTCATGTGCATTATCGAGCAGAAGCTGCCATCACTCCGAGTCTCTGCAACTCGCCTCGT